GCATCCACTTGCAGAGTTACACATTAATTGTGTGCTGCTAAGAGCTCTGCCAATTATCCTGTACTTACCTACAGGTTTGGCTCGAGACATATTTCTACTAAGCTTAATGGGAGTTCTGCAACTCATTTCCTTGGAAATTTGATTGGCGTGGATAATTACACTGTCAACGGCATGTTCATACTCGAATAACTTTCTGTTTAACAGTCAATTATATCAGGTAAAGGCAGTTTTTCTGATGATCTGGTTGTACTAATATTGTATCTGGCATTGTATATCAATACTGCTGCACCATGTACAAGTCACAAAAGGAGCTTTGGTTTATGAACTGACATAAATGAAAGTGGAGAAATAGGTTACAGCTATAAAAAAAAAATAAGTAGCACTAGGGAACATTCCTGAGCGTTGGAACTCCTTTGTCTGTACTGTAAAATTTTTAAAATCCTCTGGGGCATGTTTTTGGCTTGGGTCAATTAACACTTCCCCCTACAGTTCCTGGACATAGTTCAGGATCTAGCATGGGCCACAGACCATAAGTGGTCTGCATATGAGCATCCTATTTTAGAGAATAAGAGTTTAGCTGTAGGACACAGTGTGTGCTGTGATAGTTGGTCTCGGTGCCAGGGCCAAGGCTCAAAAACATTCAATTTGCTATTGCAGACATTGTCACAAATGTTTAGGGCACTTTTGGCAAAAAGCTTCTGATGGTATTGGAGCAAGTTTATTTCTTACTCAAAACTATTTACAATATCTCTTCCTCCTCGTTTTTGCAACTTGACAGCTCAGTCTGTAGAGCCCTGCTGCTATGCAATGTTCCAGCCTCCATGAGCAACAGCTGTACCTTTGCTGGAATGACAATATTTACACAAGAAAGGGATTTCTTCAGGGTATGCTTAAAAAATGCAAATTGAATCTGTTTTTCATTTGTTTGCTAACAGTAAAAATTGTCTTTCAAGCTTAGTGACATAAAAAAAGAAATCACTACTCTCCCTTTCTTGCTATCTCTGGAAAACTGCATGAAACAAGAAGAAAAGAAATATGATTTTTCAGTGAAAGAAACCTGCCTGAAACCAAGCAGACTGTGAATCGTGCCTAGCGAAGTCACCTTTCCTGGCCCAATCCAACAACAAACATGTCTGCCATGCAGAAACACCCACTAAGTTTTGAGAAGTCTTTGGAAGTCTCTCTGAGTCCTTCCACCGTAGGCAGCCCACAGAAAAACCCCCGAGGTGCTGGGCTGAGAGAAGGAGTGCAGTGATCCCTCAGGAGACAGCCTGGCCACGAGCCACCACTGCCTTCCCTGGCCCCTTCCTCTGCCCTGGCAGGGTGGCCAGCGTGTCCCTGAGATGCCCTGCAGCAAAGGGGAGATTGGTTCCTAGAGATCCTGAAATTTAAGTGTGCTCTCACCTTCCAAGTAATTACAGAGAGGCTGCCACGCTTGCTCAGCCAAACACAAATGAGTAATTGCCTGTGCTTTGCTTTTACAATGTGTTTAAGATACGCAGGTATTTCTCTCTACTCTCAGGAAACGGGGGAATGAAATAATTGCATTGTTGCTATGAAGCAAATATGCAGGCTCGTCATTTTTTAAAACTTTGCACTCCAAATAAACCTCTAAAAAAGTCATAAGCACAGCTCCACATGGCAGAGTATTATTTTTAATGGCTTCTTTTTAGTTGCCTTCTTTTTATCCCTAGAGATCTGCATTTCTTCGCTTCAGAAGAAAATCTTTGATTGATTGTTTGTTTATTCTCTAAATGTAAGCTGATATTTTTACATAATCATATGACTGTGAGCCAAATTTTTAAGGAAAAGATGAAGAAACTTCTGGTAAAAATCATGACAACTGGCAAGGCAATGCAGGAAGACTCCAAATCTTCCCAGGCTATTTCCAAGGTGCTACTAATACTATTATGGTACAGTAGCATGTAGTATGATAGTGTATACTGTATAATATATACTATATTTTACTAGGTTTTTAATGACACCATTATCCAGAGCTGTTAGAATGGCTTTATGCTTTGTTCCAGTATCAGTCAACAGTTTTTTTGTTAAAAAGGTGTGTTTCCTTTTTGTTACAGCAATTATTGCTGGCTACAATGAAAGGAGAGAAATACCTCCTGGGATGCTTCTAATATAGCCCTATCTGCACCAGCTCTTAAAAATACTGCATGTGTAAAAAGCGCGACGCGAGATATTCTCACTTCAAACCAAAATGATCGCTGTTTCTGATGCCGATGTAACACATCTGCAGTGAAGGTGCGAACTCCAGCAGCAGGAGGTATGAGCTTTTCAATAGAGTAGACCTTAGTGCGGGCAAGGTCTGTCTAGTTGCACAGCTGGGACTCCACAGCCAACATTTGTCTGATAGGAGACCAAGCACCAAACATGCGGTCTTTGAAACAGCCACCGTGGAACAATTATTTCATATAAAACATGCTTGAGAATTTGTTTTCAAATGGCGGGCAATGATTTTTATGTGGTCCCACTCTGTGTTTCAGCCCAGTGTGAACAAACTGCCTCCTTCCTGCAACTTCTGAAACAAGTTTCTGTGCAGTGCCTCATCTTCCCCTTGCTGCATTTTTTAAAAATGAAATTAAACACAGGGCCCCATTCAGCCAGAAACAACCCCTGCAGCTGGTACTGCCTGAGCTCTGTGAGTCTCTTGGGCTCTGAGGATATTGATACAATTCTTAAAGGAAAAATAACCTTCTTTCCAGCAGCCTTGGAGGAGGCTATTAGACATAATGAAAATCCCACCCAGCAGGATTGTTGTTCTGCTCTCTGTCATAGCAGAGAAAGTCATGCCTGTCCACAGTATCTATTTCTCCTGGGCAGCAGAGAGCACTGGCTGAAAGTATCTTTTCTTGGCCAAGCCTGAGTAAAAGAAATATTAACAGATCTATTCCATGCTCTGGTATTCCAACTACCCCTTCTGGACCTAGCATATGGAGAAGAAGCAAGCATGTGGATAGAAGAAGCAATTCATAAGGCTTCATAGCAGGAATCTCTCAAGAAATAAAAAGCGGGGGTCATCCTGCACGTTTCCTCTGATTTTGAGGAGCAGCTTGAAGGCATAAAGAAGAGGGATTTGTGATTTGCCGCCACCTGAGGGTTTTGTGCAGTTTTAATTCCCCCCTTTCTCAAGAGTTATTCTGCACGTTTGTGATAGAAAGGTGGAGGTGGGAATTAATGGTGGAATTAAATAATAAAATTTACAAAATACAGAAGCAGAGAAAGATTAAGGTATGAGGGGAACTCTGAAGGCCCTGATATGAAAGGGATTCCTTTTTGTCTTTCTGTTTGACAGACAACCTGTCCCCAGGGCTATGATCCAGACCACTGCCTAGCCTACAGGAGCGTGCATGAGTTTCAGAGATTTCTCACTGGAAGCAGCCTGCGTTGGAGTAAGCCTAGGAAAAATGCACAACAGGTTGGTTTCAGAGTAGATACCTTATGTATGCTAAGGCAAAATAACAAGGGATGTAGCCCAATTTCAGACTGGTTAGGATTAAAGAACAAAGCTAATGTTGAAATAATGCCTGTTGCAGAGTCCAAAATATACCTCTACTTCAGAAAAACAAAAGTTGAGCCTATTGCACATGAACCATCTGTGGGAGGCTGTGGTTGAAAGAAACAGATTATTCGTTCTAGATGTCCTTACTCATTTACAAATATAGTATGTGGTAGTTCAGAGCTTTTACATGTCTTTGTTGACACATTTTTTAAGACAAGTGAACTTAGACCAAAAGGTGAGGATGCAAATATTTAGTCATTGTAGGAAAATGTTACTGGATTTTCATGCAAGTTCTATTTCTGCTTATCTGGTTTGCAGGTGTTTTGAACATTGATACCGGAACTTGCTATGGCAAGTGAGCAAGTAAAAACATATTTATATTATTTCATCTGGGAAGTTTTCTGCAGTAAACTGCAGGCATCAGATAGTAAATTGCACTTTATTTGAGATCACTTACTACCAATTGCATAATGCAGTGTTTAATGCCACATTAAACCTCTGAGTTTTTCTTCTCTAATGACAGCCTGAGTAATTTTTAGCAATTTGACTTATTTTTTTGCATAGGAGACAGGAACATACAGCTCAACAGGAAATGTGTTTGGCTCCTTGTCTTCCTTAATCTCCAGAGAAGTAGGGCCTCAACCCTTCAGCTAATTATTCCACAACTATAACTGTTTTAACTTGTGTTTACATTATATATATATTATATAGCAGCACCTCTCCTATGAGGAGAGGCTGAGAGAGTTGGGGCTGTTCAGCCTGGAGAAGAGAAGGCTCCGGGGAGATCCTATTGCGGCCTTCCAGTACCTAAAGGGGGCCTACAGGAGAGCTGGGGAAGGACTTTTTACTAGGGCATGTAGTGATAGGACAAGGGGGAATGGCTTTAAACTGGAAGAGCGCAGGTTTAGATTAAACATTAGGAAGAAGTTTTTTACTTTGAGGGTTGTAAGGCACTGGAACAGGTTGCCCAGAGAGGTTGTTGAGGCCCCATCCCTGGAGGTGTTCAAGGCCAGGCTGGACATGGCCTTGGGCAACATGGGAGGTGGGAGGTGTCCCTGCCCATGGCAGGGGAGTTGGAACTCGATGATCTTCAAGGTCCTTTCCAACCTAAACCATTCTATGATTCTATGATTTTATTCCCAAAGGCCTTGGGCAATACTATATAAGCTGCTGATTTCTGCAACCCTGATTTAGTAAAAAAAATTAGGCATGAGTTCAACATGAAGCATCACATAGTCCCACTGAGATAAATGATAACTTTGTTTAGGGCAACAGTGCTGAACCTATATTAAGTATGCTTTGCCCTCCAAAGATGATAGATCCTTGATCCATACCCACTGGCAAAATGCTCAGGCTGTTAGTGGGCATCCCTAGCATCCATTTCCCTCATTTCACAGACAAAATAATTGCTTTTGGAATATTTAGGACTCCACAATAGCCAGCTTAGCTCAAGGAACTGCCTGGTGAAACGGTGGTGGTGGCTCACCTGTACTGCCCAGTGCAGAGCTGTTTTGAAGTCTTTGTCCACCAGAGTCAGGTCTGCTCCCTTGTGCAGCAGAGTCTGGGCGTGCTGGGGCCTGTTGTGGAAAGCAGCCCAGTGGAGTGAAGTCATTCCCTGAAAGCCACAAACCCAGAGAGCAAATAGTCATCACTCACAGAAGCACCCTTCAAGTCTCTGGAGATAAGCTAGACAGTTCTGAAACCATTCAGGACTGACAGGCTCTTCCCGTTGCCTCTTGATTTGGAATAATTAGGAACAGCTTCTGAATTAGTGCAGTCATAAGGTGGAACCAAGCAATTAGCTTTTTGGAGTTATTACAGAAAATGGATACAAATACAAATGCTTCTTTCATATGTGAGTCTAGCCTGTTATAAACAATGCGTGGTCAGGACCACGATGTCTGGGGGATGGTTTCTCACTGATCAGTTTGGATCCTGTGAGAAAAGCCTGTTTTAGACTGGTGCTTTGACATGACACAGTGTGATGTTTATTTTAGGTAGTATCTTTGATCCAAAATAAGTATTATAAACGACAATTCTAGCTGGCAATAACCATCAAGCTAAGGAACTGACCCAGTGACATCAACAAAAAAGTCACAATATAAATATCTCATATTTACTGTTTAGGAAGGAAACACAGCAAATGGTAAGCTATTGAACTGCATTTTTATTCCATCTTGGCTGTGTTCAGTCAGTCCTGGAAGATCAGAGAATTCATGGCCTGTATTTGCACCTTCATCAGCATTGTTATACACTGCTATATTTTATTCTACATCCATAATATTAAAGATTAGCTGTATAAAGTTACTCACTGAACGCATTTTTCAAAAATTGCTATGGTTGTTCAGATGTAGTAACATTTGACCTTGGGCAGATGTTGTTTACTATCTCTTATCAGGGAAAATGCATTTCAAGGATCTTGTCTAGTTTCCAAAATGATAAAAAGCAAAACATGCAGAGGGCAAAAGAAATTAGAACTTGAACTAGAACCCCAAGAAGTCAATCAGCAACAACTCAGGTAAAGTGCAAGCTATAAAACATTGATGCAGACAGCTTATCAGTGCATTAATAGTGGAAGTTGTTAGCAGTGATTTTCTAACTAAAAGCTTGGATGCTCTAACAATTCCTCTGACTCATCAGGTATCTTATAAGGCTTTTCAAGTCCCCAGATGGCTTAAGTATAGGTGGTTACAAAATAGAGCAGTTGAACAAGAGCAGTTTTGTTTTTAGTTAGGGTTTGCAAAGCTTAATCATGGGGGTTTTGGTTTGGTAAAACCAAAAATAAGGGTAAAATCCTGCCCTAACTGAAATTAATGGGCGGTCTGCCATTGATGTCAGTGGACCAAGGTTTTGACCCAAGGGACTTAGTCCTGTTGACGGCCACTTAGTATCTGTGAGTGCTGTGAAGTGAGGCTTCAGTGAAGTGATTTCCAGCTGGGAAATGGGTCTTCACACCTAGTCCTGGAGAACAGGAAAAAACACTGAAAGAGGAGAAGCTACAGTGCACCAGGCCAGCTTTCTGTCATCCACTCTCAGTCTGTTGATATGGACAAAAAATCCCTGAAAAATCAACTTTCTGTCTGTTTCTACTGTGGAAACCAGCTGTAACATAAGAGTGTGAGAACTGTAGGTAGGGATCAAAGACCTCTCTAGTGCATCGACACAGCTCAGAGAGGTCAGTAGCAGATGATTAGGGAGAAAATATAAGAAACAAGGCTTGATGATATACAGTCACCTAACATTTGGTAATTAGGCTAAAGACTTCCTATGACATCCAGACCTCCACAGGGTAACAATGCATTTTCTGAAAAAGTAATTATTTTCATTTTCTTTAAAACTGCTGCCTGATAATTTCTGTAGATGTCCTCATCATTTTAAATGTAAAAACCAGTTAATAATAATTCTCTTTTCATCTTCTCCATGCAATTTGTAGTGCCATGGACTTGTATTATATCATCCCTCTGACATAGTTGCCAAGCTGAAAGTCCTATTGTAGTTAGTTTGTTCTGGTTGTTAGTCTGCCCATGAAAGGAAGCTACTCTATAACTATTACCATCTTTGCAGTCCTCTTCTATTCCTTTTCTTGTATGTCCTTTTTCAGATTACTCTTGCAGCCAACATTCAAGATGGGGGTGTGCCAAGGATTCAGAAAGAGCATAATGCTGCTTCCTGTTTTGTTCTCTATTTCTTGTCTAATAATTCGTACATTCCACGTGTCCTTTCAGAGCACCCAACTGAGCAAAGAGCATTGAGCTGGTTGTTGCGGCAGCTCACACCTGTGGGCGCGCTGCAGCGGGCAATGGTTGCCTAGCCCGCACCCATCTGATTTGTGCATGGTGATACCACCGCAAAGTGGCATCTGTAGACAGACTACTGTTTGTGAGAGAAAGCATGAGAGTGATATCAGAACTGTCAAAGCTGAAGATCCAGCAGAATATGATATTAAAGGTGAGACAGCCAAACTGTTGCATGTTTATGAAAAATAAGGAGCAATAAGGGACATAAGAGGAGAAAAAACAAGAAATGGCTGTAGAAAATATAGTGTGACACTTGTTTTGCCCAGATTCGAGGCTTTCTGAGGGAATGTTTCTTCACATTGTCCTCTCACAACCTTCATAAGTAAACCCACAGAAAGCCACAGTTGTGGAAACTATGAAACCTCCAGATGTATTTCTTACTGTTTAAGTGTTTGTGCGTTCATCGATGTGTTTTTCTCAAGTGTAAGATGGGAAAACAGAAGCGTTTTACTTATGCCACGAGAAGAGCTCTAATAGTGCAGTCATTTGTGAGGATCCACATTTTTCAGAAGACATGAATATTCAGGGCTTAGTACTGACACTCGAACAAATAGCTTTGCAATGCCAAATGACAGTGAGCTGGACTGAGTTCCAAATTGAATGTAGCGATGCATTACAGCAAAACATTATGGCTTGAAATTAGGATCCATGGTCCCATGCAATTAATTAGCAACGTAAGTCTACACCAAGACCAAGCATACGTCTGGTTTAGGTTGTTGCGAGCACTGTGTGCAAGCCATCCGGTGGGTAACAAAGGTTCATGGGAAGAGGGAAAATTAACAACCCTGTGGCAGTTCTGGCACCATGGAGAAGAGATGCATCCTTGAGCAATTGTTAAAGTGAAGAGAAACATATGAAAAGGCATCCAGAGGCTTACTTGTGTCTTGGCTTCTCTATTTGGAGAAGAACAGATTTGGGAAGTTAACATTTCTGTGTACACTATATATACAAAGGGCACAATTCTTTAAGGATCAGAGGACAGCATAAATTTTTGTAGCTCCATGGCTGTTCTGAGTAATACCAGCTTTCAGATCTTTTTCCTGAGAACAGTTAATTTAATGATGAGATCACTGGTAAAAGTGAAGATTTAGTCCAATGTCTAACTTCAGAAGAATCAAAAGCAATTTATGTCTTGGCAAGTGAGTTAAGAGATTGATTCAAGGTACCTCATAGTTGGCAGTATATGGAGAAGGTTTATTAGCCTAAAGGTGCATCACATTTAGTAGGAAAAATGAGATAATGCTTTGCAGAGTTCAGCAAAAGTGTTATAGAAATTTTTGACTAGTGCATAGTCTCATCACAAAATTGATAGTACAGTAGACTCTGATCAGCATGACTTGTAGGGCCCCAGAGCCTGGGACTGAGACTTGTAGCACAAGCTCACTCACCTCATTGTCCTGATGATTAATTTCACTAAGATTCGACTGCTGCAGAAGCACGTTCAGAAGCCTGTGGAAGCAATGACATAATCAGTGTTCTGTATTCCTGACTAAACCTGAAATATTGACATAATTTGCGAAAAAAACCATGCAATTTCAAGAAAAATCAGTATTGACAATGGGCACAGGTCAGAATCTCAGGTCTGAGCTTTGTTGTACTAGAGAAGCAAACAGGACTTTATGGCTTACTGTGACAAAAGGTATTTACTGCTGGGAATTAGAAGCAGATCCACTAGGAAGAATTCTTGTGCTGATTGCCAGGGTAGGATCAGATTGTGTAATACATACATTTGTGCAGCTTTTGGTAGCTTAGCAATTCATTGTCACGCTATTTTATAAAGTTTTAAACAAACAGAAATGTTAATGACAAATTTCTAAAAGGATTTTTCACTCTAACTCTTGGAGTAATGTGTTGTGTATGTGTTCATATGTATGTGTGTATGCATGCATACTATATATTTACACACACACACAAACCAATAGTATTTTACAAGGCTTTACAGTGTGTCTGCTGGGATATCACCATTGTTATGATATAAAATACAGCAATGCATTGGTTCACATTTTATAGAATATCAGACTACAAACACTTCCCTCTGGTGGAGGGAACAGTTACAATAAAATAAGTTACCTGAAATATTATTCAAGTGCAATAATATTTTTAACACTGCATAGATTTTGCCTTTTTTTTTTTTTTCCTTTTGGTATCCTATGAAGATGTTCTGAAAACACTACAGGTTTGGCAAAGATAATGGTGTTTTATAGTAGGATGCTATGTGTTTGGATCATGTACGTGGGTGGACCATGGAAGTAAAAAGGACCATCCTGTCACAGGCTGTAACAAAGCCAAATAGCTTAAAACCTAACATGGATAGTTCTATGATTCTGGCAAAAGGAAAGGTATACCCTTAGTGGATCCCTAGATAAGATCATGATGCAAATCTGTGGCTCATCTGAAGGTGTGAATTTGCTAGAAACATTCAAAACGTGGGCATTTAAAAGACATGCTGTTTTGCAAGGAAATTAAAAGATCATGAAATGTCAAGGAGAGAACTCTGATAAATGTACAGATAATACACAGAGAAATATATACAACCATGCATTTATTCCCATGGATAGGAAAATGAATGAAAATCTTTTGCTACTTTTCATCAGGACAATCTTTGACAACTTCCAGTATGTTTTCTAGTTTGAACTGTGCTCAGGTGTGTGGATCAGATCAAGTTGAGAATGTTGCATGCCAAAATTATTCAAAAGAAAGACATTTACAGTTGCTTAGGGATGATTTAGGCAATTCTACAGGTGAAAAGCTTATCCATGGGTAGTGCCATCATCAGGTGCCAGAAGTTCAATATTTTTTCTAACTAGAATATCCCTCAAGAGTGAAGATTGTGCAGATCCCAGTACTTTGCCAGGACTTCAAATCCACTGGTATATGGATATAAATACTTGTAGAAAGGGGATGTTACACCTCCTTTTCTGACTCACAAAACCAATAGCATAATGGAGTCATACTATAGGTACTCTGAAGAGGATGATATTTTAGCGTTGCTGCGATTAGTTTGGAACTAAACTTTGGAAAGGGGAAGAAACATTTTGTGGTCATTTGGAACAATGACTCAGAATTGCAGAAATTCGGTATCTGAAAACAAGTCTGGGTAAAAAGGACTAGTGAGCAGAAAGAGAATGAGATAACCATAATATGCTTGTAAAACCCATTTATCATATAGTTTTATAATCTAATACAGGGTTCTGTAGTTTAACCCCAGATATAATCAATGAAACCAGTGTATGTGAAGGAAATCTCATCTTCTGCATGTAAAACCTATCAACAACCACCTTTGGCTCACCTATCTCCTTAGGTGATTATGGCAATGTAAGTGCTACCACTGAACTATGTAGATATTCAGCCGTGCAACTGAGATTTCTCTGATATCTACTCTTAAAGGCATAGATCAGGAAGTTCGTGGATTCTCTTTCTACCTTTCATTCTAGGTTCTGTGGAATGCATTGAAGCACATAAATCAATTATCAAATCAATACATAAATTGGCTGATCACTGTCTCTGTCTTTTCATGTGGTACATGTGCTGCCTCCAGCACATGGGGTTGCAGCAGCGGGCTGCCAGCTTTCAAACTTGGCTGAAAAAATACTTTATAGCTGCCCACTGCATATACCCTGTTGGCAATGACATAGTATTCAAGATAGTGACAATGACTCTGATGGAAAATGCTCCCCCTCAGTCATCCAGGCATGTTTTCTGGGCATGGGGCAAACCCAGTAAGAAGACAGAGGAAAAGGAATTGAGCAACTGGTGAAGTCCTGTGCGGAGCAAAGGTCTGCCTGTATCCATAGAGAATGTGAAAAATATTCAGGGAGCCATGTGTGCTGCCAGTAAAGTAGATTACTGTTGCCTTTCAAGTAGCAGCATGTGCAGTGTTGTACAAACATTGTCTTCTTTCTGTGGAGGCTTTGTTTAATGATAGTGACCCGTATTTTTGCAGAAACCTCAAACTATTCTCTCCAAGTGATGCATGAAAAGCAATGACAATGTGGAAAATGAATAAAGCTGTTAAAAAAAGGCTGGAAAGCAAGATCAGCAGAAATGCACAGAAGTCTGATGTGGTCTGATACGGCAACAGCAGCAGAACCATAGACTCAGTGAGTAAGTCACATGAACTTTTTGCGTGTACTGAATGTTTTACCTGTCTTTAATGTCTCCCTATCCCTCCAGACATGATTTACTTAGGAGGTTTTTTTTCAGTGAATTTATTCAGATGTACAAATGAAAATTTGTTAAACCTTCCTGTTATCACAGGCTGGAATGAGATGCAGACGAACTTTCTTAAGACTTCTTGTGAAAACACTCTGTACTTGTTACTCCGCCTTCAGTAAAAGTAGTTAAAAACGAGCCAGTCCACCAAACCTCAGCTTCCCCTTTACAGTAGGGGCACTCAGAGAGGTAGCGGAGTGGAAAACTTTTCTCACATTTGCCATGCTACTTAGAGGAGAAGTCCGGAGAAGGAGCTTCTTGTGGGGAGGTGGCAGAAAGGTAATCAGGCAGGGGAAACCCAGGGTTTCAGCCTCTATTTTTTTTCTTCCCTCCTGCTCTTGGGATCTTAAACTGGGCTCCTCACCTTACTTGGGCATATATCTATGTTGCACAAGTGTTGTACAATGCTTTTCCTCCTCTCTACCTCCTTTACAATAACCACTAAACAAAGGAGCAAGTCACAGGTGTATCTGTCACCTACATCTGTCTGTAACCTTCCTGACTTGGGCTGCCCTTTGGGCTGGGTAGCTTCTGTTGGTGACTACCTGTTGAGATTGACCCAGCAAATGCTGTTGGAGCCTGGGACGTACCTCACGTCAGGCTCTGCGGTGGCAGCGTGTAGTGGCAACCTCCCGTTTTTGTCAGGTATGTTCTGCTTAGCACCGTTTCTGAGCAGGCTGACACAGCCTTCCAGCCAGCCCTAAAAAAGAAATTGGAGCATGTCAAAGAGGAAAGTTAAATGCATCAGGCCAGATCTTTGCTTGGTGGTTCAGGCATCTGTGTGTGACTGTAGCTGTTTCTGCCAGCAGGGGAACTGGTCTTTTGTTTCCCCAATATAGGTCTGTCAACACTGAAAGCGGTTCCCCTTCGGAATCTGAGTCTCAGACTAACTCGGTCATTCCTTTCTGTGATAAGGCGTTTTCTTTACACTGCGTTTTGGTTTTCTGCAGCTGTGGCAAGTACTGACTGACTAAACAGTGATTAAAAACCTGCTAATTCCTGTATCACTAGCAAATGCTACATGTATTCCTGCATGTGGATTTAATTATGCTAGGTTAACCAAGAACATGAGCACTTAATCTCATTTCCTTTATGAGATTTTAGCAGGGATGGCAAATCAATAGTAAAAAGCCTTAGAGTATGGTCTTATAAACACTGTTGCAGAAGTTCGAATTAGTGACAACGTTAGACTGAAAACAGCACCAAAACAGATGGGATGAATCAGTTCTTGGACTAAAACCTTCTATTGATCACCTCAACAAAAAAGCAAGTAAACTATCGGGTTGTGACTGCATAAATCTTTCAGCATATACTTAAGTCCCAGGGAAATCAAGCATGTATTTAAGTGTTGTTCAAACCTCTGCAGGCAATCAATAAAGACCCTTCCCTCCTGTATGAGCTAGGTTGGATTGGCATTACCGACATTTGTAAGGAAAAGGGGTGGAATGGTGGAATCAAAAGATCTCTGTTGCAGATCCTGGTGGAAGTAAAAGACCACCAAATTCTGTATGTGATCATGACAGTGGAGCTCTGCTGAGTTCAGTTCTCACAGAACTGAACAGACATCACAGCCGAATGCTTTCTAGACCTCTGATTATATCCATCACAGAAACAGAAATGGAAATTCCGAAGCCTGAGTGGTTTAAATCTTTTTCAGTCAATTCTTTTTTTCCAAAGAATATTTTTTCCCCTCTGGGAAAAGAGGAAGGAAAAAAGGAGCATGACACTAATTACGGGATTTTTAAAAAATATCTGGCAGAGGAAATGTTTATTCTCAAGTAAGTGGGGCATGCTCCTTGCACTGAATGAGACTGCCTGTTTTGCCGTTTTCTACACTTATTTTCTGGCTAAATATCGCATAGCTGAGCAGAAGCATTGTTTTTGTCCTGAATTTGCAGGAAGAAACTAGATGCAAGGGATGTGATTTAATTAGGCTGCCACAGTATCTGTTTAAATGAACTGGCGGTCATCCAGCCACAACTCATACTATGCAGCGTGGGTGAACATTCCTTCCTCCTTTCTGTCCAACAAAGAACAGAAGCCCATGGTCAGCCCATCTGCCCAACTTACTTGGTCCCCATCCTCTCTCTGTATCCTGAATTCCCTCCAGCGAGGAGTAGAAGACTAAGGATAAGAGGACCATCCCTTTGTGCTTCAGACAGAAAGCACGGCATCTCCCTTCCCAAAGTTCTCAGTGGGATGTCTGCCCCTACTATCACTTGCACAGGGGTTTATTGGGGGATTGGATTGCCTGTGATCTATGTATCTGCACTGACACCTGCAGCATCTTGAACTTAAGTTCGTAACCTGGCCATCCAAGGTCCAGCACTATAGTGAAAAAAAGCCATGCCCTGGTTCACGTGTTGTGCAGGAAAACATGTCTGCTGGACACCAGAATTTGAGATAGGAATGCCCTCTCTGGAGCATAAAAATCTGATGCTGATGGTAGGAGGGGAGAAGATAATCTGCATATTAAGAATGAGAGGGAACTTTCCAGTACACAGAAACAAGTGGCTTTCCACATGGAGGACCCTGGTCTAGTGAGATCACTGTACCATGCACTGATTTTACAACCCAAAAGAGAAAGGACACTCTGACAGGAGTCCTGATCCTTTTCTAATAATCATTGCTTCCAGCTTTGCAGTTTACGATTTCAATGTTGTCTAGAACCAAAAGTTTTGTACTTTTTTTTTGCTTTCTGTAGTATAAACAGAAATCTTATTTGGTCTGCACATTTACTCCCTTCACTTCATCTATCTTTCCATCCTTATCCCCCAAGTCTTTGTACCAGATAAGTTGCCAGAGATAAACTGGTACGTCCACAAGCATCTTGAGTATTAATATTGGCTCCCATCTTCAACAGAAGCTTCACTGTATCAACCTGGCGTCCTGACACAGCATGCATCAAAGGTGTGCAACCTGGGGAAGAAAGTCAAACGTTCTTTTACAATTTTCATTTTGTCAAAGCCATAAGATATGTTTTCTTATTTGCTAATGTTAGCACTGGCAAATTAACAAATCCTTTCTCTGACAACTGTCCAACAGTTGTACTCAGCTTTTTGCAGGCAGGGAGTAGCTGCTATGCCAGTTACTGACCACTGGTTTTAAAAAGAGCATGACTTCATTAGCAAAAGCCTTGCCTCATTAACTCTGCTTCTGGAGAGAAAAGTGTTTTTCTGTTGTCAAGCTCCCAGTATGAACTGTTGGCTTTGTACCCCATTTTGGAGGCTGATATTCTTCAGAGTGACTAGCAGTCAGATGGTGCTTGGCTAATTTTCTCAAACCCCGGTTTCGTTCTGTCTCCATTCAAAAGAATTATGAAATCAAGCCCTGTCCCACACCAAGGTGTATGCGTGTGATTTGCTGTGGACAACAAGTTATTTTAAAGACTGGATTTGCTCTAGAATATTTTCTTTTCTGTTTTCATGAGAACTTATTTTATACTCTGCAAACAATTTCTGTGCTGGAAAAAGACTGAAATCTACATTCAAACCTAATACTCAAATTTCATCATGAAATATATCTTTTAATTGCTTCCTCTTCCTTCCATTCTGTGAACTGCTGAACAACAGCAAGAGATTTTTCTGCAGAATCTGATGAAGCAATTTAAAATGACTAAGCTGGGAATAAACATGAATATTAGAAGCTGTAAGACTACTAGAAACTGCAGACACAACTGAAGAATAATTATTCTTACTGAATTCAACGCGGCTGCTGAGCAAATGCGTGCTACTCAACCTGAGGTTATGCAGACTCTGCCATATGTGCAGGATATGAGCCTTATGTTTTGTCTTGCAAGACTGGTCTTTAGTTACATTTGTATGTACAACCTACTAAAGCAGCTTATTCTGGAGCTGAAATACTTCCGTTTGCTGATCAGTCTATCTCCACCTGCTGCCCTTCATATGTAGTTCCTCTCCCATTAATGGTCTGGATTAAGAGCATTTTAGCTGGATCAAGCATTTTCCCTACTGACCAATAGATGTTTTAAAGGTAACAGTTAGGATGTCTGGTTTAAAGTGTAGGAAAAATTGGTAACATGGTGAATCTGGTAAAGATTAGAATAGATAGTGTTCATATGGTCCCTTTAATAGAAACTGCAATAAAAACATTCTTTTGAATAAACAAAGTCTTCCTTGAGAGAAGCTTCCAGAGATCTGTGGCTCTAGATGGGAAGTAGATGTATACAAAATCCAGCTAATGGACAGCACTTTGTAATAACATTAAATAGTAACATGAACACAAAATGAGAAGGAGCACAGTCTCACAAATGAAACAGCTTATTTAGATCATTGCACATTGTACAATCAACCCTTTGGCAAACAATTACATGACAAAATCATTCAAATGGTGTCTGTACACATACTTCTTAAGTGCAAAAGACTGGAACCCTCTACTCTAGACGTGCAGAGTGTATTGCATTTGGCTTTGATAAAAAGTATTCTTTTTCCTTCCCTGATATGACTACAATTTCTCAGCATCTCCCTAAAGAAGATAAAATAGATTCAAGATAAAGTACTGTCTGATTATAGCAAAACAACTTATTTGTATCCATATAAAAAATCTTACAACTACGGGGGAAAGAAGCATCCAAACTGAGCATTTCCAGTGGGTGTCCCAAAGAATAACTCAAATTTCCCATATGCTGCTACTAAGAACAATTCGCTGAATGCAAAAATCAGGATAAAAAAATGGAAAATTTAATTGCAAGCTGAAGCAACTAATTGCCTGAGAACAAGCTCAGCCTTCATTTACCCTCGCTGTCACAGCACTCCAGGATGGAAGGGTCTTCTCGAATCACTGCAGTTAATGTGTTCACATCACCATTAGCTGCTGCCTGGTAAACCACAGTCAAGTCAATCTCTTCTGCTGCATCACCTGCAGGGGAAGAGTATGTTCGTGAGTAAGCAGAGAGCAAGTACAAATGATTAACAGTGAAAATAATGACACTTATTTCACTGAGTTTTTATGACTATGTAACTTGAGGTAGAATAAACTGTATCTAAACAGCACTGTGGTTTTTGTTAGTCATCTGAAACTTGTTTTTCATCATAACTTCTTTCAAAAACTGTCAGACATAGACACTGAGAGAACATAAGAAAACTTCTGGAAAGTTTCCACCTCTTATAAGAAACCATACTAACATTAATGTCACATGACTTGAGAAACAATGAAGTAATAACTGAACTAGCTCATAATATTGCTGGCTACACTTTCATGAGAGACAGGATGAAATCAGGACCCAGGTGTTTTCAGTTGCAGTGTTATCCTTGCACCAGTCAGAAGACTGAAGCTTTTCACTTCCTTTCCCTGTGGTGTCCAGGGCAATTCTCTTCTCAGGAGAGTGAACTTCTGGCAGCAATGGTTTGTGTTAATAATTCCTGCAAAAAGGAAAGGCAGACTGTTGCTTGGAACCCAGGAGAGGTTGATTTTGTTTGGGAGTCATGGTATGAGTTATTATTTAAAGCACATGCCTTGCAGGAGCTGTTCCTGAACACGCCTCGATTTTTGTTTCTAGAGAAATTAATGTGATGATTCTCTCTTTGCTTCTTTGCTTGTAGCTTCCTTCCAGTCTGGTCACCCCATGGTCCACATGCCTACACCTCCTTTGGCTTCAAGTGGACTATTAAACTGTCAACTCCAGGAGTCAAAAGAGTTGATCTTTTGATGCAGGGCCAAATCTGACGTAATGGTAAAATGCTCTAGATATCTATTGTTGGTCAGCCACAGCCTCATGTTTAATTTTGAAAAGAGTTTCTGATCTCTGTTAACTACAGCTGCTGTGAGCTGTGCTGTTCACTGCGACTGAGGGTCAGAGCTACAGAGCATAACATTTGTCCAGGCACTGCAATACCTTGTTCGCAGAAGAAAGTAAGACTGATACCTAAATCACACTAGAGAGTTGATCAAAGGAAAGACAGTTTAAGTAACTGGTGTCTTATCCTTACTGTCGTGTCTTCTGGAGATAGCGTAACTATGTAAGCTGTGCAGAAAAAAGGGATATGGTTTAAAGAGAATTTGAAGAGTTAGTAAAAAGTCTTTTTCGTAATCAGATAATACACCATTAGTATTAACACATTGCTATGAATTATATTTTAAACATTGTCATATATATTTTTGAGTCATAAAAGATCTTTAAAGATAAAGTATTAGCCACCCTATTCACATTGTGATCAGACGTTGTCGCAGCTGAACCTGCATGAGCTCCACGCTGGGGTTTACTGCCCAGCGTAATTCCCCACATGTGACCTTCTCTCCCCAGGATGCAATCATCACTCTCGACTTCAAAACTTGGCTGCCATGGAAACACAATCAGCTCTTACCCTGGGAAAGGTTAGTCTGTCAAAGCTGGAGCTCTGGCTGGGGGCTTGGGAAAACTAAAAGCTGATGTTAAATCTGCCTTCACCAATGCACAGATTCCCTCTCCATCACTACTCAACTGAAGAGAATTTAATTTATTTTCTTTCTTCTAGCAGGTCTTTTAAAGTAAACATTTGATAAAATTTGGAAATTAAAAATGTTAAGTTGATTTTTATTCTGTTGGGGAGCCTATTGCTGAGGGAACTGTTCATTTGGCTCAGGAGCTTTGACCTGTGTGCTTGGAAGATCAGGAGAGACTAAGAGTCATTGCCTCAGGACAGTCATCATCAGTGACTAGTATATGAGAAAAGTGGCTTTACCACAAGGCCCATTAATCAGATTTCCTTATCACGCCAGATCTGCAGACTGCTCTCACAGTCGGTAAGCTCAGCCAGGACATGTTAATAACAAGCTCAGGTCTGACCCAGTCCCTTACTCAGAGGGGTGTAGTATGTGCTGGTTGGAAGGCAAGGAGGCAAGGCAGAGCTTCACCACTTGTGCTGCTCCTCTTGGCCAGTCTCTGGAGGTGCACAGCAGATGCCAGCCATGAGCACTGACACAGCTCCTCTCACAGGTGTGTGTGGTGGTTATTATATGGGAACGGTACAGAGAAGATGCTGCTGGCATTGGTAAAGAAACCATTAGACATACTGAGACAGACAGTAGATCAAAAGGGCCCTCACCTCCTTTTATGCATTGCACATGTGAATTTTATATTTTTTGCTGTTTAGCCTTGTAAGTACTGTTAAATTTTCCTGTTGTGAGTCAAGAGCAGAGCAATCCAGCCACAAAAGTAAACCCTCGATCTCCCAAGCAGAGCTGTTGCTTACCCGCAGGGCAGGATGGCAGGAAGCTGAGGACATGGATGCACACCTGCATTTGGGTCCCCGACTCCCTCTGCCCTTTTTCATCTAACTAAAACCAAAACACCTTCTCCCCTGTGCCTTTGCTTGTGTTGGACTGAATCTGCTTTCCCCAGAGCAATTGTCCTCCTGTATGAGGAGTGGAAGCAAAACTCTGAATGAATGGATGAATGCACAAAGATGTTTTCCCAATGCCTGTTCTCACAGAAGACGGGCTCCACTCCTGTTAAGGGATGGTGGCATGAAGCCACATCCAAGCTTCACCCTTCCCCACCTATAAGTCCTAGCTGTCAGAGCAAAGAGAGGCAGATGGACCTGTCTGTCACCCTGCTGCAAGGTAGACTGAGCCAGGAGGAATTGATAAGCGCCCATATTGTTCGTCTGACATAAAGCAGAAGCAGACTGACACCAATTCAGTTTCTGTAGGGTGACATGATTTCAAGTGGGGTGTCTTTAACGTGACCCGTGTGGCTTTGGGTGGGGGGAGACGATGAAGACAGATACATGGTCTTCTGATGCTTCACATGACAGGGAGCAAGAAATGCCAGGGGGGCTTGGATGCCATTTATGTTGGATGCACTTGGCTTCAGGTGGCGCAACATCTCCCACTTCATCTTCCTCCAGCTTACCCTGTCAAGGAATGAGGGGAGAACATGGGCAAACCTTGTAGGGCATTTCTTTTTGCAGACACCTTCCTGGGCAGGTGAGGAATGGTTTGGAGAGTGGGCATTTTCCAGAAGGCAGCAGTGAGTGCTTGTGTCCCCGTCTGTGAGCTTACCCTGCTGCGGAGCTTGGCTGCAGCTGGGGCACCAGCACCATGCGGGGTAATGGGATTGTGAACAGCCAGATGCCTGACCCTCCATCTTCAAATTTGTTAGTGTTACTTTATTTATTATCTAGCAGTTCTGTAAATGCCAGTCAGTACTGGTGCCATTTCAGGTACATTTCATATTTTATTTTGGAAAATTGCTGTGCTACTGTCAGTCAGCTTCAGGAAAGCAGAAGGTCCAACTAAGAGACTGTGTATGGAGCAAGGGCAGGGAGAAACAGCAGGCTGACACGATGGTGGTGTAGGAGGGCCTGGAAGAATCTTATTAAGCAAAGACCAAATGACATACAGGGTTGTGACATCTTCTTTGGTAGATAAAATCCTCAGAAAGAAATGAAGTTAAAAGCCAATCTGCCTGAAATAAGCTGCAGTGTTTTAAAAGTGCATCATTTCTTTAAGACAAAGTAATTGTCTTGTGGTTGAAAAAGGGGGTAAATAAAGAAACATGCAGAATGATGACAGGATTCAGAGCAATGAAATTACACTGCTTGTGACATTAATTCTCCTCTGACTCTCCTAGGAAGTACGCATGTTTTACATGATTTGCGATGTGTTGTTTTACAAAGTGCGTGTTAGATGTACGTAAGTGCATGCTTTCTTCTGCATTGGATTTTTAAGATCTAAATAAATTTGCTACAGTTTAGTGTATGTGGTCTTGACAATGACTGATTTAGACCTTGCTAAAACACTAAGTTTTGAAAACTGAAGGCTGGATAACAGGATAATTTATGTTCATTGTGAAGAAGAAATATTTATGTATATAATTTACTCCCGTCTTTCCCATAAACCTTCTTGTCTCCTCCAGTAGCCAAATGCCTTATGTGATTTCCCACAGTTTGTTGGCAGGACACAATACTGGGCAGTTTATTTGATTTCAGCATGTCAGTGTGAAGGGTCAGCGAGAGGTGGAATGGTGCAGTTTTTCAAAATCGTAGCTTGCTCTGTAATATTATGGAGACTCCAGGCCTCTGTCTAGCTTAAATGGTAAATATTTGAAGCCAGGTACAGCACACATTTAAATGGCACCAAGCAGCCTTAGGAGTGGAAGAGTTTCTGATGTTGTTTGGCTTCTTTAAGTCCCATATTGCTACTGTTGTTACTATTGCTAAGTATTATATTAATGAGCAGTAGCATAGGAAGTGTTGCAAAGAGACAGTACGATTTTCAAGCCTGGAACGCTGTTTTTTTTAGTCTATAGTTGGGATAGTTTTATGATGTGGGCGGTGGAGAAAGGGTTTGTAGGGGGGGTTGTATTATTTTATTGACCAACGTATATTGATCTGGTGTGTTTGAAAGCTAGTCTGTATTCTTCCATTCTTATAAATTGCTCCAATGAAAGATATTCTCCTTCTCCTTGAAAAAAAAAAAAAAAATTATGCCTGCTTTAATCAGTAATGTGCCAAGACTTTAACATGCTATTTAGATAAAATCCACCATACACTGTAAATTTTGAATAGAGCTTTCTTTGCATGATAATCAATGGGTTCAGTGTCCCATTACTGTGTGTTGTCTACTGCTGCTCCCCATCCGTCTCCCATGCAGCTAGCAGGGAAGGCAAACAGTAAGTCACAAATCATCTAATAAGCCAGCATCCCTGCAGTGGTGGTGGAGGGGAGACTATGAATTTATCTGGACCGGATCCTTTTGCTGGCGTGGAGTGTGATGTGGGGCTAGAGCTGATGCTGGACAGAAGGAAGGGCTGCAGATTAGGACCAAGGGGAGGTACAGGCACATGTTGCATGTTGCTTCCCAACTATCTCACTTCTATCCAGATAAGGTGGTTTGGGTCAGTAGTCTCCTACATTGCTGTCTGCCCCCTTATCCATCTGGAGACTTGACTCCTCCTTCCCGAGCCCTGGTCATATTCCAGCCTCATTCCTCACACCAATTCCAGCAGCTCCCTGGCAGCCATTCCCGTGGCACTGAGTGTGTAGGCTTTCCCCTCTCCCTTCCCAGCCTGAGCACTGCTGGGTCGGTGTGTGGCACAGAACACACTCGTACTGCCTGCAGGAGAGCTTGAGAATGGCTATTTGGAGCTGCAGAAGCTCCATCTGACCCACACCTCTGCCCTGATGGGGAAAATGCTCCTTACGTCATTTGGACACGACCAAGGAGCACCTGTCTCTGTTCCTACAGTACAGATCCCCCTTCTCCTGTTGCACTTCCCTTCCTCTTTTGTCCTTGCTGGGAGTACTTTTCATCTCTTGTCACGCAGTTTTGCTGTATGACTTCCCACTCTTCCCCATCTACTCAGGGTGGGACCCCGGCTGGGCTGGTGTAGACCAGGACTCGCAAGACTTGCTTCAGGCTTTGAGCGCTACTGTAGCTGAAAGGTAGCCACAAGTCCACTCCTTTACAGGGCCTGTATTTTCTTTGGGTTCACCAAAGAAGTGTAGGCAAGCACAAAAGTACAACCTGTGGTACCCAGCTGCTCAAAAGGCACCTCAGCATCTGTCTTCCCCCTGCCCTTCATCTTTTTTCTACAAGTCAGCACCTTCGTGGTGGGATGAGCATGGCCATGGACACTTTGCAGGTGTGCACTGGGAACTGTGGCCACTGCACACAGGTTATTTGGCAAGCTGACTTAAAGGGAAATTTGTTGCAACATGGATAATCAAACAGTGACAGCTTCCTGCTTTGGGAATGTAAAAGGAATGCCACTACATTCCCTATAGTAGATTAAGCCATAAGACATAAAACCTTGTATTGGCAAATAAAGACATAAAATTCAACCATTTAACTTAAAAACAGACAACAAAGAGACATTTATATTTCCATAGCAACCTTACCATGCAGAAAATCTTCATGTTGGGGCTTTTAACTATATCTTAAATGCACAATTATGGCAATACTTACCTATACAGCTAAGATTTGCTGAAGGAAAGTCGATCATTTGTCAGCATCTAGTCCTTTTAATATATGCAAACTAGTAGACTTATGAAAATCAGCTTCTCTTAAATTTTTACTCCGTTTTAAACTGCTCTGTTTGCTAATATTGCAAATTGGTTTTATATGCATAAATATCTGTAAGAGCACCAATATCGAATATAAACAATAAACATATACATACATCTTAATGTAAGCATAAGAGGAATCACATGCTGTTGCTATTGTGCTGAAAAATTTTATTTTTAAAAATCACTGTAGTAATAGGCTGAAATATCCCTGTCTAAAACTGAGGGAAGAAATTCCTTCATGTGTAACCAAAACAAATCTCTATGAGACCTGATCTTTTCCAAAAATTATTGTTATTCATTCTGTCAAATAATCTTAGTACATTTGCATGGGAGGCATGAGAGGACCAGAGAATTTTGAAATTAGTAGCAGGTGACTTACCTTTGTGCTGATCAAATACTGATGAGGAACTGAAATCCATTGTGGTCTATCTCATTATTTACAACCAGACCACACAAATGCCATCTCCAAGGTTTTCAGGGAAGAATCCCATACATTACAGTAAACAATGCAACGATAGCTGTCGCCAATCTTCTTGTCAGAGAATTAAACTTGCTTTACGGCTGCAGGTTGTTGTCAAGGCAAGGACATTAACACTAGCCCGATGGGAGCGGTATATTCTGTTTGTTATGGACCCTCTTAAAATGACATCGCTGGAAGCTTAACCGAGCTTCTGAAAAACGTCTCAGCTTCGGCGAGTAAAACTGCCTACGAGCAGCTCTGAGAGATGCTGCAGCTCACCCTGCCTCAGCAGCTGAGCGCTGCCCGTAGACAAACAAGCCTCGGCGGGTGAGTGGGACTTGGCTGGCAGACAGAGCATGTGCAGAGCTGCCAGTGCAGGTTGGGTGCGGACATCCTCGCCGTGCCGGACGAGCGGCATGTGCTGCACTGACCAATCCCTGCGGGCAGGCTGCCTGTACTGCGGTGCTGTCAGCATGTGCCTGAGGATGGTCTGTGAAGTGATGTTTTCAGAGATTACTTGTTTCCTGATGTAACTCTTGCATGGAGAACACAAGCTAGCAAGCTCTTTTTACCTTAGTTTAGTGCTACCCAATTACAGTTAGTTTAAGTACCATGTTTAATGAAAGGGTAATAACTGAGAGCACATTGCCATGGCTGAAGTGGACAGTGATAGCTCCAACAGCATAGTGCAATAGATATAATAGGTCACAGCGGATGCTCTAAACCCATTGTCTGACAAATCACCAGTAGACCCACGTCTTCACGCTACTTTTTGGCTGGGCCTCTGCCTCCCTAAATTGGGAACTCAGACTCTGTTCCGTAAATGGGAGGGAACGCTGGTAATCTTTGCTTTTTGCTGGGTTGTTTCCATGGAAGAAATAATAATAAATGGGCTGACTTGGAATTTACTTGGAGCAGTAGATCACCAGCAGTGTCTAGGGCCTGGTAGATGGGAAGGATTTAACGGGTTTACTTAGCACTGGTGCACTGGAAGAGACACATCACTACTGCTGAACAAGGCAAACTAATGTATGGGAATTAGGAAAGGCAAGACACTTTTGGCCCTAAAGCACAGACAGGTCCTACACTACAGCTATGCCTAAGTTTGGTCAGCCTAAGAAGCCCCTAGACTTGGTTTACTGTATTTATTCTATTCTGGTGTTTTGACTGATTCCTCTGACTACAGCAGATGCTGGAGACATAACATACCTGTGGACACTGTAGGAGTTCTATCTGGAGCTGATTCACATCCCAAGCATCTGCTTCTGAACCTAAATCCAAACTATGTGTTTGGGAAAAGATAATACGACCCAGGAAGCAATACAACCTCATCAGCTTGAAACAAAAGACCAGAGCTGAAATTCTCCGTAATGTGGTAGTGTGATCTGCTAAAGGGTCCTTAACTGTTGAACGGCATGTCGTTGGACTGTGGAGCCAGAAATTGGCTGTTTCTTTCCTCTGCTGCTGACGGGTTTGTGCTTTGGCTCCTCTCAGGCCCTTTTTATATTGAGTAGGGATCCACCGTGTGGCAAGTCCTGTCTCTACACTCTGGGAGCAGAGAATTAGTTATGCAGCCGGCAGCTCCTTACTGGCATGTCCTTGCCAGGAGGGTGGCTCTGGG